TACAGCGTTCTTGAGTTACTTCCATCTTTTAAATTAAGCAACCTGAAAATCTTCAAAAGGAATGTCTCTCCCTTTGTATACTTTGTGGATCATTTTCGCATTCCATTACTGTGGAATGCAGATCCCTTTTGCTGATTATGCAATGCTATTCCTCTGGGATACACACACACACACACATTTTGTAATCGCAGCAAGTGAAAATCTGGCTCTTCCCCCAGGCTTTTGAGTTACCCTACTATGCTGTATATCCTCCTGAGTTCTACTGATTGGTTAGTATTTATGTTCCAGGTTATATATTGTATTGCTATTTTGCTTTCTTTCTTGAGGTTATCAATACTTAACAAAATGTGTTGAAGAAAATATTGTTACCCAACTAAGGTGTGAGGGCACAATGAGGCAGGAAGGAGCTTTTCCATTGCACCATGTAATCCCCTCACTATGTTTTTGAGTTATTTTTAAATGTGGATATAGTCAAACCCCAAGCTGTTCATGTTTTTAAAAATCATTTGGATTGAGTCCAGAAATTGAATGGTATGATCTTATCTATTCCTAGTAAACTGTTGCACTATTTTGAAGTTTCTGCACTATCTTCAAAGACAGACCCCATGTCCAGTGCATTGCAATCATGCCATGAAGATGTTCCCGGAGTGGTCATTGCTATGTGAAGACTAGCTCCAAGCTGCTGTAAGTTCTTGAGCTGATAAAAGGTTCTTCTTGCTATCAAAATGATTTGTGACAGTAACAGAAGCAAGAACAGTCCCAAATTTTGTCCTGAACTTTTGAAGGGTATGCAGTTCTCTCCAGAACAGGTTGGGCATGACGCACTTACATAGATGAATAGATCATTCATGGCCAGTACCTCCTTCTGATCTAGACAAAGCTTCAATGTACTGGCCTTCATCCAGACCACTGTTGTGCTCAATGAAGGACACCCACTGCCTGAATGGAAAGGTCAGACGTATAAAGCTGGTGTCATCTTTTTCTCAGTAGCTATCTCTAGATGATGTCCTCCAGCAGCTCAATGTACTTGTTAAACAGAGTAGTAGTGAAATTGAACCCTGGAGTGCACAACACAATTACAACAAAACAGAGCTGAAATCTCCAGCAGCCTCTTATAAAAATGGTTACTCAAATAAGAGCAAAAGATTGTAAAGTGTACAGTGGTGGGATTCAGCCAGTTCGCACCTATCCGGGAGAACCAGTTGTTAACTTTCTAAACAGTTCAGAGAATCGGTTGTTGGAAGAAATCTCATTTTGTTTTTTTCCACTTTACAGGGCTAATCCTGTAAGGAAGGCGGGAAGGAAGCATTCTGTTACTGTTTCTAGCCTAATCTCTATTGCCCTCCTTACAGAAACTGCCTCTCCGGTTAACCCTTATTACATTGTAACAGCTAAGGCGAACAGCCCATAAACGTGAGTGATGTTGAGTTGGTCATACCCATCCAGTCAAATGACCACTGAGCCCCACCTAGCCTGCTGGTCATTAGGACAGAGAACTGGTTCTTAAATTATTTGAATCCCACCACTGAAAGTGTATCATTCCAACAGATGATCAATCCTGTCCAGATAGGCTGGAGAATTCAAAAGAATCAAGAGGTTGCACTATCTCTTCTGCTTAGCTCTTCCTCTTGGTGAAGAGGACTTCATAAGGAGACCAAGGCTGTTTTTTGTTTCAGGTGAGGTACAAAAGCAAGAAAACTTCACCCAGAAGTGCCTGAAGTTGGTTGGCAACTACTAATGTAACTACCTTCATCAAGAAGTGGACCGTGATAATCAGACTGTCATTGCTAGTACAAAACTTGGAAGGAGTGCCTCTTTTGGCCTTGGGAAGCTCTGTCTTATTTGCTTCTGAAGTCTCCTGTGACCATTTCAATAGCTGGAGAGGGTTCTGGGGATGTTAACCAACCTTAACCCTATCTTCATAGAACAACCTCTGAAATAATATCAAGAAGTTTACATTATTGCCAGATGGTGGGGTTCAAGTGGATGATGAATGGCCCCTCCCAGAAGAAATAAAAGAGGAGCAAAGGCAGATGCCACTGAGTTCTTAGAGTGATGTCAATTCTACGCTGCTAGCTCTTCATAGAAAGCCCGTAATTGAAGAATGAAACTGGAGAGCCTTTTAAAATGTTAGCTTTAGTCCCAAACGTTTAACAGACCTGAAACTTGCTACTGCCACAGAGAGGTAAAATCCTTCCATGGCCCTGCCAAAATAGCATGCTTTGGGAACTTAGAAGCTACCGTATTTTTCAGAGTATAAGATGCACTCACCCCCTCCCCTAAAAAAGGGTAAAAATTTGGGTGCATCTTATACACGGAATGTAGCCAAAAATGCAGAACGTACCCAAAAATGTGATGCATGAAGGAGGTGATGGTCTGTGGCAATCCCTGAAACCTGGAACAGCTGATTGGGGGTATTCCGGGAGGCCGATCCACCCACTAATCAGCTGCTCATGCTGAATCAGGGTGCAATAATGTGCTGAAGCTGACCTGGCTGTTCGCTATTTGCTGCAAGGTCAAGTCAGAGTTTGCAGCAGCAATCACATCTAGAAAGCACACACAAGTAACTGATTCAGCAGGATTCAATAACTTCTCTTTATATATAACACATGAAGTAAATATACAATACCAAAAGCAGGTTTTCCAACATGGTAGTTCAGCAGAGTAGAGAAGTTTCACTTTCAGTTTTAGTTTCAGATATCAGCACAGCATGCAGCTTTAGTACAGAACAAGCTATGCCCTGGCTCCTTGCTATCTCCTTCCTTGTTGCTCACACAGCAAATACTGTTTACAAACAGCCCTCAACTCTCTCACACACTGACAGGAT